TCCACTGGCCCGAACCCCTGCCTGCGGTCTCGCAGAGCCAAAGTGGAGCCACGCCTGCCGACACTCCGCCTGGCACCCACCAGCCTCCCTGTTTTGATTTTGTTCCTTAAGGTTGTTTCAAATTTAAATAATAGGAAGCAGAGGGAAGCTGGCATGCTGTGAAGCAGAGAGCTGCCCTCCAGTGCCGGCTTCCTACCGCTTCCAAAAGAGCGGCTTCACGCCTTGGAACTCAGGCCTCGCCCAGCCTGGCGCTTGGCTTCCTGGGCACGTTATTTTTCTTTCCATCTCACAGGCTGCTTTCGAAGAAAGGCGCATTCCGGGACCTGCTGTGCTCAGGGCGGCATCTTAGGAACGGAAAGCCCCGCAGGACGCATCCTTTCGCACCCGTGCCCACAACGCGCAACCCTGCGGGCGTGCCCACCGATCCAGCAAGGCCAGGGACCCGTGCAGCCCTGAGCCAGGAGGCCCAAAGCCTGGCTTCATCTGAAGCTGTGCCAAACACGCCATCCTCGTCAGCAACGGGCGGGCAGCATTTCTGCGGGAAGAAGAGGCACACCCAGGATCGCGCTGGGGCTGGGAAACACCAAGCCTCTCTTTATCCTGGCGACCTCATTGTCTGGGGTTGGTGTTCACGGAATCATGGCCGGATAATCACGCCGAGTCAATCCCATATGCACCATCATTCTGCATCTCCTTAAATTCAAGTAACAAATATGGAAAGCGATACCTGAAGTGGTGGATGCAGATTGTTATTTATCTGTTTTGTAGAAAAAGCAAATGTGGGCTGGTGGCTGTCCTTGGGCAGGAGAAATCCACATTTTAAGCACTTTGATTCTCTGCAGATTTGCTACATGGTTCTGAGCAAATGAGCAGCTCTGGCCTCAGTCCCTTTACCCCACTCATCTGTAAAATGGGAATAGCGATTTGGCAGGAACATCCGAGCACAGAACGGTTGCTTCCTGCTGTTGACAGGGTGCCCAGAAAACCAATCCACCTTCCTTTTAGGTGAATCACAAGGATGGCTGGCCAGCAGGACTCAACCTTTTGCCAGCAACCGCGTGGCCATCTTTCAACAGCCAGCTCACCCTTCTCGCCAAAGAGTCCGGTGAGCAAAAGACAGTTAATGGCAAAACTTATTTGCAAACTCACTAAGTAATCCAACAGCGTGTAAACCATACTTCCGCAGTTATTCCTTGGAACCCTCATCTTGCCTGAAGTGGAGTATAAACCATTGTTACAGTTTGACCCCACCGCTACGGCTCAGTTCACTCCCATTTTTAAGTGCCAAGCAACAATGTTCTGAAGGTAGATGGAAAACGTGGCGGGGCAGATGGGTTTGCCAGCACCTGCATCATCACATCCCATTCACACGCTAGGGCAGCCATAGCATTGAGAGCCCACTGCTGGTTCGCAGCCTAAGGGCGACTCCAATGGAGTTCTCTCATCCTTCTGCCTCTATTCAAGCCATGGGGAGAAGGCAGAGTTGACCCAGGGGAGACTGAGGGTAACGTGATCCTCCGTAGTGTGTTGTTACCCTGTGAAGGGATGTGCTTGCTAATTTATTGAAACGGGGTGCACCAAAGTGCCATGGAATCTGTCAAGCGAAAGCAAAAGATGCCCTCTTTTGCTTGGCCTTGTCTTGGAAAGTGATCCGGGCCAAGAGGAAGTCCTCCAATGCTCACAGAAGGAAGACTGCACGTCCGGCAACCTTCTTCCATGTCGTGTGCAGCCGGACAAAGCTGTGCGAGTGTTAAACAACTGTCTAACAATTATGCATAGGCCTCAACAAAAGTCAACCAAATAATTTTAGCACTCTAACGTCCTCGATGCATTGCACTGTAGGAAGTGACTTTTGCCCTTCCATTGTTATATTATTAGTCTGTTAGCTCTCAGCAGGCATAGAAAATCCATTCACCCTTTCCTTTGTTAATTCGCACGAAACAGAAACAACATGAAAGTGTGTGTACATCACTGAATACAAAGATCTGCTTCAGTACAGAATTTACCTGTGTAGTAACCTTCTCCCAAAATGAAGTAACCAGTGGGCCCTGCCAAGTCATATATCTAGAAGAAGTACTACGCTACCAACAATTCGCCAAATCAGACAACCTCTTATTAAAGAAATGTTGCAAAACAGACACGAAACAAACATTTTCGCTAAGACACACACAACAGGTGGAAGCCAAAGCGGTGGTTCACTGTTTAGGCTCATTACATTGTTTGCAAACATGTTGCAAAATGACAGGCAGTACATTACATTGTTTAGGGTCACCGGAGGTCTAAAAAGACCGAGTGCCCCTGCTCTGCCTGAGTTGTCTGAGCTGCTACATTAATAAAACCTGCAGCCATAAATTGACATTGTGGGGCCTGCTGGCTGACCTTACTTCCGCTCTTCTGTTGTAAACCCTGGCTAATATTCTGAGTCCTATCCTGATGCGTCCTGAGAGCAGGACTCACGGATTGCCCATCTGAGAGCTACAAGCTGGCCTTCCGCAACATTGAAAACTCAGAAGGCGCACTGAGCATAGAAAGACATTTAAGTGGGTGTTTTCCCTCTGCTGCCTAGAGATGCCAATGTATGGAGCTTTCCAAAGAGACCAACACCACCGACAGAAAAAATGGCATAATTAAATACAGCAAATTTTTCCAGGATTTTGCAAACAGTCGCACATCAGGGCGAAACTGAACCTTGGATGGCGACTGGAACCTTCTGCATGCAGAGCATCTTCTGCCCTGCCATCGGGCCCTCCTCCTTCCTTTAAGCTTTGGGACGAAGTGTGGCCACGCAGGGATGGAAGAGAGGAAACCCCAAACCCGGCTGCCTCTGGCGAAGTACTATGACTTTACGGTGACCAGGCAAGCCATCACATGGAAACTGGAAGAGCTGGCTCTGCTCCTTCCTCTGTGAGCGTCTTGAGAGTCTTAAGGGGAAGGCTGCCAAATGAGTTAGAAAAGATTTGCCAATCAGAACCCTAGCAAGGCAGCAGAGAGGCAATTCCACAGGGTCCACACTTCTGAAGAGGAGCAGCCGAAAGTTCTTGGGAATTCCCCTACTGGAGGAAGAAACCCAACCCCAGACATGACTGTACTTCACAGAAGCAATGAATGCTGGTTACATAATTTCGAACACACACCTGGTGATGCTCCCAGTTCATGCTGGAAACACCTTTGTGCAGGTGGTCGTCTTATATTAAACTTTCTCCAGTGCCTTCCGGACGTGTTGGAAGATGCTGGAAGCCACAGTCCAACGCATCTGGAAAGCATCAGGTTGGGGAAGGCTGTTCTCGCTTCCCATAAAACAAATGCTGTACCTGAGAATATTTCAGGTGAGAGCATCCCTGGAAGGTTGGCACAGCCCCAAATCTCTCCTTGCTCGCATGCGACTCTCCCTTCCAGGTAGGAACATCTGAATGAAGCAGCCATTTTGATCCCTGAGCTCTGTTTTTTGCTTTTTAAATGAGAGAATTCCCACCCACTTTGGAGCATCTGAATTCAAGAGATGTCACAGTAAAACACGGAAGAGGGAAACTCAGCAAGAGCAGTTGCTCCTGTAACCCAAGGCAAATATATACGGGGCAGGGAATGGGCATGTCCCATCTCCGAACTTCCCAAGCTGTCCTACATCCCTACGTTTGGAGCAGAGAAAGGGGCTGTGCTCAGAGAAGCCCTTCCGTGGGAAGCATAATATTCTTGGGGCCAGCAAAATTTATGTTCAGCTGCAGCAGCAAGACAAATTAACCCAGCCAAAATGGGGGAGAGGGATGGATTCTCATAAACGTGTTAACACTTCCCCCTTAAACTGCACAAGAAACACCAAGACGCTGCTCTAAATTTCATCCCTCAGGTACACAGAGCCTGCCAAGAGGATCCGGCCCAGCAGACAAAAGTGGCAAGACACAGGGCTCCAAAGCGACATTCTATTTCCAACCATCAGACCTACTACGCTCAGCTCCTGATACATCAAAAGGCAAACACATTTCTGTGCGATACCCTGCTGCAGTTTAAGAGGGTGCATTGTAAACTCTGCAGAGCACAGCAAAACATCCTGAAGTGTCGTTGCAAGTGTTCCTCTTGTCCATTGTGACCGGATCCTGAAATCCCTTGGATACAAACTGAACTGCCTCCAGCCTGTGCCCGCCTGATGCTGAGACTTCAGTTCCCATCAGCTCCAGCCAGCACAGCCCACGGCCAGGAGGCCTGGGAGCTGTGGTCCGGGAAGTCTGGGGGAGGCTGCGCTGGGACCTCGCCACGGGCTGTCCCCTCTTCCCCAGCCTGGTGGGGTTTCTGCTCTGGCCGAGGCGGAGTGCAAGCCTCTCCAGACCACCGGGGCAGTGACCCCCCCCCCCGCTCCGCGCAAGGCGTCCATCCAGCAGGTTGTGCGAGTGCTGCACAGGTGCGGAAGGGGTTGACCGGGGGGGGGGGGTGGCGAGGTGCCTGGTGGCGTGAGCTCACTGCCCGGCACTTCGCAGGCCCCCTAGCGGCAGGGGCCACCGGGCGGCCCTCGGGAAGCCATGCAAGGACGACCTGGAAACCGGCAGCTAGCAGAGCTGCTGAGCCACCGGAACCAGAACCTCTCCCGGCTATGCCGTCGCTTTGCCTGCGCAGAGGAGGGCATTTCCGACACGTTCCGACGATCAGCAGACCCGGAGCAGGAAGCGCGCACGTATGGATGCGCGTGCTTGGCGGGCTGCTGACCCGGGGGCGCGATTTGAGCCAGCCGCGCGGATGCGCAAGCGGGCCAGCGCGCGGGAACAGCCCGCACGCACGCACGGCCGTGGCCCTTCGGTCCCGGGAGAGGGAGCGCGATCCTAGGGGCGAGTGTCGCAGCGAGGGACGGGGCGGCGAACCGGTCGGTTCGCGGGCCGCAGAGGGGCCCCGGGGCCCCGCGCCCCTCTCCCGCCGCCGCGGACGTCCCTGGCGAGCCCTTACCCCCCCCCCGCCCCGCCGGGAGGCGACGGGCGGCCCGGAGAGGGGTCCCCGCGGGCGCAGCGCCTCCTCACCTGTCTTGAGCGTCAGCGCGGAGTCCTTCCCGTCCCCGCCGACGTCCTTCTGCAGCAGGTCGTAGAGCATCCCGAAGGAGTTGTGGATGCCGAAGATGGAGCCGTTGCACCAGGTGGCCGCCAGGACCACCACCCAGCCGAAGCCCCCGTCGGGCGGCGTGGGGCCCGGCGCGGCGGCCCCCGCCCTCCCACCGCCGCCCTCCTCCTCCTCGTCCAGCGCCCCCTTCTCCTCCGACAGCGCCCGCTCCTGCCTGCGCAGCGCCATCGCGCCCGCCGTCGAGCTCAGGCGGCGGCTCTCGCTGCTGCTGGCCCGCCGACGCCGCGCCCGCTCTGGCCGCCGAGCCGGTCCCGCACGCCTCCTGCCAGCCCCTCGGCGCTGCCCCCGCCCCCGCCGCCGCCGCCGCCAGCGCCCCCCCGCGCGC